AAATGATATGCTTTAGGAAATTTAAGGTCATGGCCGATGGATCAGTTTTCTTAACTTGGGACCCTCCAACTGGCCATCTCCCACATTTTCTTTTCAAACGCAGCTGTCCCTGGTAAACAATAATCCACTGTGTTTTTAGTCCCTCCACTCTCACCAACTGGTCCTGAAGATTCAAAACTTAGTTAACCCTGTTCCCCTGCAAGGCCAAACCTACTCTCTCATAGGCCCTCTTTTCTTGTAGGACACTTAAAATAGTACACAATTGTAAGAAATGTTTGTGGAATACTATGTCAGAATGTCTGTTTTCTTGGAATTAGATTCCGTGATGCAGATTGGAGTACATTTGAAGATTTGTGTGACGGCTTGGAGTTCTTGGAGATTCGATCCATTTGAAAACAATGCTTAGGAATTGGGTTCCCTTTGAGTGATTTTACTTTCCCCAAAGGGAGAAAGGGAACCTCGTGCGAAGCTGATCTTTGCGAAGATAAAAATATTCTAATTCTTCTACTCCTCCCAAAATCTAAGGAAGGCTTTTGGAAATTTCATGTTATTGATGTACACTTTCGCTTGCTTTTTACTCTTGGGAGTCTCTTTTCAACCCTTGATATTCCCCTTGAAAATAGCATGGTTTTTCTATCAAGAAATTATGCTGCATGATTTGCAGAACATGTTCAGATTACGAGTGTGCTTGCTTCTCCAAAAAAATTCAATTCAGATACTGCAAATAAAATGGAACATCAGATATTAGAAAATTTGGGATTTGATTACATAGCGATAAAACCATCTGTTCGCATACATTGCTCTTCATATTACCGACTACAAGTTACTGCCGATTTTCTTCCTTTGGACATCTTTTGCTGCATTATAAACTTAAAGGACCCAAGACTTGGATTTCCTAGATGGTTATTCTGATAAAGCAACCAGAAGCCTAATTACCGGTACAGAGACGACTAATTTAAGTGGGATTCTTGACTAAATTGCTACTGTTTTCTTCTACAGTAAGGAAAACTGTTGCAACTACTGCTTTCTTCATGATCATCCAATTGATCACTAGAAACGACCTCTGTGACTCCGCTGGAACCTGAAGAGGAGGAACACGGTGCAAGGCTCAAATTCCTCCTGTCTTTTGTCATGAAATCGTAGAAAACAGGCCTGGCAGTCTTGGTTTTCCGAATCACTCGGTCATTGCAGGGTTGTTGAACTTGCTCCTCCTCATTTTTACCACCTCTTTTCTTCAAGAATATGCGGCAGAGGACCCAATTGTCCATTGGCACCACAGGGCTCTGCAACTAAAAGAAGAAAAAAAATCATTATTAACAATGACAACATAATACACTGGAAAAAGAAAATGTGTGCTTTTTGGTTTGTAAAGCATCATAGAAGACTATTTGAAATGGATTTGTTGAAATTTTTAGTTGAACTACTCATGCAAGAGACAATTGTTACAGAGCAAACAACACTAAATAGAACAAAAAGCTCACTTGGGTTGAGTTCTTTTCTTGTGGGGCATTGGGGGCTGTATTTTCAGCCAAAACAAGGCGATATTCATGCATAATCCAATCAGTCCTAGTGCCATGGGGAGGCTTTCCTCTATAAAAAACCAGAGTTTTCTTCATACCCACAACTTGGTTGCCCCTAGAAGTCACAATTTGCTTGTCTAACCCAGTTGCCTTCCAATACCCGGAACCGGTTGCTCTGTTTGATCTGCTCCCATTGGGGTACTTGGCTTCCCTAGTGCTGAAGAAGTACCTCTCTTGCTCACAATCACCTAAACCCACACAAGCCGTACATGCATCAGAAACAACACTTAATACGATTTGGGTTTTCACAGTCTTTCAATTCTCTGTCTAATTTTCTTCCTTCAAGACCATTTCCATGTTAATACGATTTGGGTTTTTGATTGATAGGCATATGGCATTGTGGTTTGGTACAATACAAATAATAATAAAAAGAAACCAATTCAACAAAATTGAAGTTTGAGAAATGTGAAACAAACCTGGCAAATCCCAAGGGTCAGCCTTGCAAACTTCAACCTCAGGGATGATAGAGGCAGGCAAGGGGCAAGAGAACACCTTGCGCTTCAAGTACTGAAGAACCAGCTCTTCATCCGTGGGGTGGAAGCGAAACCCAGGAGGCAATCTAAGCACACCATTCTTTACAAAATTAAGCCTCTCCATCTTGATTCTGAGACACCACAAGAAATTAACTGAAAGCTCAAGCCTTTAGTTTTAT